AAAGGAAAGGAAAGGAAAGGAAAGGAAAGGAAAGGAAAGGAAAGGAATAAAGGGAAAAGGAAAAAGGAAAGGAAAAAAAAGAAGTAAGGAAAGGAAAAATGAAAAAGGAAAAGTGCAGAAGTGCCTGTGAGTTCATCTCTGCTCAGCATCCAGGTGAATTTGCACACAAAACTGTGGGTTTCTCTTTTTGTTTGCTTGTTTGTTTTCTTTTGTTGCTACTATTATTATTGTGGAGCAAAACAAGGAGGAAAAGGTGATCCAGTGCTGCCCGGAGCAGCCAGAGTCAGGCTGCTAGGGGAGCAGGTTGGAGCGGAGAGGCGGGCGGCTGTGCACGGCGGTGCCGGGAGCGGGGCTGGAGCCGTGCCGAGCCGTGCAGGGACCGGGGCTGGCTGAAGGACCGGGGTCGGGAGCAGACATTGCCGGCCGCTCCCCTCAGGTGCGGTGCCGCTGCCGGCGCTGTCTCCGGGCAGTTTTGTTTCTCGCTGCCGGGGTAAGAGCGGTCGCGTTTAGGAAGGTGACGGCCAAGGCAGGGAGGTGATGCGTGCGGGGAGGGTCTGTTCCCATCGGGAGAGCCGGGAACAGTCCCAGTCTCCGGAGGCTTTGAGGAGCGGTGGGTAACCCGAAAGAGGTGCAGAGTGTGGGTGCCAGCGACACGCTTGAGGCTGTGGCATTCCCTGAGACAGCCACGTGTAAGGCAGTGTTTGAGCATCGCTTCTGCTCGCAGAGGGGTGAAATGAACTGCTTTGCACGGGGAGGGATTTGTCTTTGTAGGGCTGCTGGCACCAGAGGTCGTGGGGTTTGTAGAGAGATGAAGTGGGGCATTACAGCGAGAAAGCAGCACGCGTGGTGTGGTGAAACGCACCTGTGTGCAGGCAGATGGCAGACGATAAGTCCTGCTTGAATGTGGAGATAGGCTGATATGGTGCCTCTTCAAAACAGAAAAAAAAACCCTCCAAACCAACGATCACAAAACTAGTAACAAAATGCACCCCTCTGCCTCTCTGAGGTAATAATCAACTCTGATTTTGTTGAGCAAGCAAAAAGTCACATGAACAGAACAGGAGACCCCAACTCCTCCCTCTCCCCTCCAGCAGGGTTATTACAGGAGATGTGTGTGAGTGCCTTGGAGATCTCATAGTGGCTATCCCAGGCTCCCTGATATCAAAGCTGTTTGTCAGAAAAGCAGCTGTAGCATGAAAGTATGTGTAAGTGCATGCAGACACATGCGTCTGCTATGGGGATGAATGAGTGGGTGAAATCTGAATAGTTCTGGCAATGTATTTGGTCAAAAGAGTTGAAAGAATATAAAAAAATAGTCTAAAAGAGTCATGGTTCTGGACTGTTTCCAGTTCAAGCTATCAAACTATCTGTGCTGGTGGAACTCCATCTCCTCGAAGTATCCCAGGGCATTGCCATCTCCTGAACCAAGATGTGGAGTTGGACCCTAGGAGCTTGTGCCATCTTGAGAAAGAAAGCTCCAGTGAGGAGCTGGCTTTCTGTGGACCTTCTCTACACCTGAGCTGCTGTGGGATGGAAGTAGTAAGCTGCTGAAGGAGAGATTTGTGGTTGTTATACAAAAGGTGATGGGAGAATGGGGGTGACTAGTGTGACAGTGCAGAGAGATGATACACGTAGGGCAGAGCAACTGGGAAGGAGAATTAGTCTGTGCAGTATTTATAGGACTTTTGAGGGAAGATCAGGCATGATCTGGTCTGCTTAAGAGATGTTAAACAGTAAAATGGATATTGAAAGTGATATAAGATATTATAAATATTTATCTGTCATGACCACCTTGCTCATGAGAGATATCTCTTGCTCAAGGAGATGTCTAATAGAATCATAGAGAACGTCTAATAGAATCATACCCCAAGTTGAAAGGGATCCCTGAGGATCACTGAATCCAACTCCTGGCTCACCACAGGACCACCCAAAAATCAGATACTTTGTCCAAATTCTCCTTGAACTCTGTTAACTTGGGGCTGTGACACTTCCCTAGGCAACCTGTTCCATGCCCACCGACTTCTGGTGAAGAACCTTTTCTAGAATATATGTATATGTGGGCTTCTTGCCAGTAGAAAAGGAGAGGAGGTTAATATGAGAAGAACAGGTATGTCTTCAAAAGGCAGCTCTCAGGTCCTGCAGGAAACACCCTCATCTCAGTGCTGCATTCAGCCACAGGTGGTCACTGAGTTCGTAAAATGTTTTATTGATAAGGTTTTGTACGGGGACCTAACTGTATGGGTAAAGGGTTTGGTGGCTCTGGGCAGCCTGGTCTAGTAGTTGATGACCGTGTCTGTGGCAGGGGGGTTGAAACTAGGTGATCTTTGAGGTCCTTTTCAACCCAGGCCATTCTATGATTCTATGATTCTATGAAATAGCAGAGTGTAATTAGAACTTCAGGTGTATCTTTTCAGATGTCTTAAAATGTTTTTAATACATATAAGGGCAGAGACCATGGGAGCCCAAGTCCCATCAGCTTTGCTGAGATTCCTCAGTGCCTGAGTCATTTCTGCAGCAAGAGCTTTAGTTCTGGGTGCAATGGCCCCTTTCAGTTCTGTGTACAGAGGAATCAGAGCTGGGATCTTCTGTTTCTTGTCCTCTTGATTCGGCGGATAGGAGATCCCTTATTCAGATGGGACAAAAATTCCCGGAGCAAGGTGATCGTTAGCAAAGCAATTCTGCACTTTTTAGAAAACTGGGGAATTATATAGGAAGAAGGACAAGACTGGGTTTTTCTAAAATCCCCAGTGTGAAGTGGGGGAATGGGTGGTGTGTAGGCAAGGAGTGAGTGCAGTCCCACAGAATTCTCCTTTGATCATCCAGCTCCCCTGCACTGAAAAGGGACAACTACAGCTCTATCAGGTTGCTCAGGGCCCCATGCAGCCTGGTCTTCAGTGTCCCCAGGAGCAGGGCATCCACCACCTCTCTAGGCAACCTGTTCCAGTGCTTCATCACCCTTACTGTAAAAAGTTTTTGCCCTATATCCAGACTAAATCTCCCCCTTTTTTTTTTTTAATTTGAAACCATTTCTGCATGTCCTGTCACAACAGACCCTGCTGAAAGTCTGTCCCCTTCTTTCTTATAGCCCCCTTTCAATACTGAAATGTCACTATCAGTTCTTTCAATGGTGCTGGTAACAGCAGGTCAGATGGCAGAGTGGTACTGCTCTTCATATATCACCTAGTGGGCAGGTTTCACACTTTTATTTGATGTGATGGCAGACATGACACATAAACACCACACTTTTGGCTTAGCGGGTGGAAAGGAGAAGAGAGATGTTCAAATATGATTTTACAACCTCTTTTGTGAGCAGCAATTTCATTAGCTGGTCACTGATTACAACCTGAATTCAGAGCTGCCTAAGGCTGTGTGGAAGGTGGTTTGAGAACTGTAATGTGTGGTTTTTCCTTCTTTTTATAAGATTTATTGGCACAGATGTGAGCCAAGAAATTCATTTGCAAAATATTTGGATATGGTGGCAGGAAAAAATTATTACATTTCTCTGTGATCTTCCAGAAGAAACCACATTCTGACCAAGTTTGAACCAAAAAAAAAAAAAAAAGAAAGAAAGAAAGAAAAAGAAAAATCTAGAGGTTGATTTATTAATTTATCTATTTGTTTTGCTAGCATCTCACATATAGTTTAGAACAAAAGACACCTTTATCCTTGCCTGCAAAATCCCGTGGCTCTCTGAGAGAAGTGAGCTGAGGTTTTTCTACTGAGAGCCCTGTAATGGAAGGATGCAAACTTGCAACATGGATAATGTCACATGGATAATCTCAAGCAGCATAGATTCAAGGTTCATAGTACTTCTCCCTCTAACCTTCCCACCATTCCCTGTTGCATATACTTAGCAAAGAGAAGCTGACTGTGGTCCTTAGAAGCATAGTTTCATCCTCCACTTCCATACATTACAGATGTCAATTGAAGTTACTCTGATTAGAGCAGCAAAAGAGCCAGCTGTGACTATCTTATGGCTCAACACTGGTAGATGTCATTCCTGCGTGTATGGTTGCACCACATGTAGACTTTCCTAAATCTGTTTTATTCAGCAGCACCCCTTGCAAATCCTTACACATAACAAAATTATTGCCATTTTTAAAGCAGCACACTGAAGGCAGAACTGAATGGTGCTTCAAATGGCTTTGAGGTCCAGACCCAAATCTGAGACTGCTTCATGTGTCAGCAATTCTGCCTCCCATGTGAGTACTCCTCTGGCAGGGATTCTCAGGGGAAAGGCATTAGTTAATGATAATAGCTGTGGGCTTTAGCAGAACTATGAGATTCCCATGGTTATGTTGGGTGTTCTTTGAAAGAGTTGTGTATGTTTATGTTCTTCTGTTTTCCCAAGGTGCTGGGAAAAGGTCAAAAATTTCAGAAGTCCTCCACGTTTCTATGGGACTTTTGACTTCTTTATTCAGGAGTTGGACTCGATGGTCCTTTCCAACTTGCTTTATTATATGATTCTGTGATTCAGAAGCCCTGGGCTCCCACACTGGGGCACTAGGAGATGCTTTAGTATTGTGTCAACACTCATCTTTCTGAGAACTGCTCTTTTTTGGATGGCCTCAGTGTCCCAGTGGGGTCTTAAGCATTCCTGTCTGTACAGCCTTGGCTCTCATGTGTGAGTGGAAATGAAATGAAACTGTTTTTTTTAAAAAAGAAAGAAGTACTGCTGTGCATGAGGACATTGGCAGATGTGACCTGGAAGAAGCTGAATACCCACAGCTTCAACTCAAGATACTTTTGGGTATCCAACCTGTCAATGTCTCAAGCTGGGGATCA